TGCTCAGCGTTTATCCTATAGACTTTTCACTGCACTTCTAGAAGAATGAAGGGCTCCGCATACCCCCCATCCTCTATGGGTTTATGGCGGGCTCTCAAGAACACCCGCTGAAAGCGTACAAGTAACTGCGGATACAGATAGCAGGGCGTTTCGATAGTGTTTTCGGGGGTCTATCTGTATCCGCAGTTCGCATGCATCGCGTATATGGGGCAGTGCTCCTGCAGCCTTGCCTTCAGGCATCCCGAATACGGCGAATACGGCAGCTCCGGTTTCTGCAGCGTCACGAGAGTCAATGTGAAACTCTCAGACCCGTTGGTGACACGACTCCCTCGCAAACGACTGGCAACTTGCATGCGCAGTGCTTGTCGGGATACGGGTAAAAGCTTTATCATCTGTCGTCAACTGATCCTGCTGTTATATTATTACAAGATGGATCTAGTATAAGGAATGCCACACACCAACCGTAGCCGTCTGCACACTCTACTGCAATGTTGACTGATGAGAGCCTGGGGCTTGAGGTTTTCGTAGGGTTTTAGCCCTGCTCGCAGGCGAACCACACTGATAGCTTATACGTTGCTCTTGGCTTGCCCACTCCGGTCCGCTGAAACACTGCGGGGAGCGGTGAATGTTTAAGAGGAAGGCTGAATAGAAAACTGCTGGGTGAAGAGATAGAATTTATTGTTGCTACAACCGAGGGGAAGCGCCACAGCGTATCATGCGGTACAAATCTGAGGACCACATAGTGAGCGTACAGTTTAGGGCTTGCATGCAGCCATCCGTCGTAGTCTAGGTGGTTAGGATACGCGGCTTTCACCCGCGCGACCCGGGTTCGAGTCCCGGCGACGGAATCTTTTGTACTACAGTTCAGCTTTTAGCTTAGCGGGTCTTTACAAGACATATAATTATACTGCAACAGAGGTCCACTGCTCTACTGTTCCGTCGCGTGCCCTTAAGATGTCCCGCTGAGCGTGGGCGAATCCCTGCGAAGCTATGTGCTACTCCTTTCAGGTTTCTTCTTGCCGAGAGTCTATCTGTAGCCGCATTTTGGCGTGCGGTCTCCAGGTGAGGCTCTTAGATCTCCTTCTTTCTTCGCCGCAGCCCTAATAGGGAAGCTCTAGCTCCTTCGGCGGGAAGAGTCCTACCAGAGTGGAAGTGTGACACCCGCTGGGGCTGCGCCTTCTTTGCGGAGAACGGAAGGTTTACATACGAGAGGCAAGCCGCGACGGGATACGCACTAGAGTACCATCATCTACAATGAAGGTAGCTGAGTTGCTACTTAACTAGAAGATGAACATCGCTTATAAGGAATGTCATGCAGCTACTGCAACCATATGCGGATTCAGTTGCAGGATTGGCGTGCTAGAACTTCTTTTTTGAGGGGTTTGGTGGGCTTTGGGTCCTTGCTGCAGGTGAAACACCCTGATTGCGCATGCGGTGCCCCTGGCTTGTTCGCTTCTGCTCGCTGAGTATATGCAGTAAGAAATACAGTTTTCGACATATGGGTATGCAAGTACATCTGCCAAAAACTCGAAGTTTTAGTTCCTACGGCCGGCTAGTTACAGCAACGCTGGCCGGGCAATTCAAAGAATAGCACCGTGCAGTGAACGTACGTACTTTCTAGTTCGTGTTACGTGAGGCATCCGTCGTAGTCTAGGTGGTTAGGATACGCGGCTCTCACCCGCGCGACCCGGGTTCAAGTCCCGGCGACGGAAGATTGTTTATAGTTAGACGTTTAGCGTATAAGTTTTTGCAAATATCATCGAAAGTTTAGGACAACATATACCCCCATTGTAGATGGGTTTTTCGCGTGCACTTGAGATCCCCCGATGAACGAGTAGGCACTCCTTGGCATATATGCACTATGGATATCAGGTGAGATCCTACCCAGGGTCTATATGTAGCTGCATCTGGTATGTATGCTACCAGTGACGATGTTCCCCTGCTCCCGTGTCTCCAGGCATGCAGACTACGGCAGCTCCCGCTCCTTCGGCTGAAAAACGACTGCCAGTATGCTGCTGTGAGACCCGTTCTTTACGCCCCCCTTTGCAAATAACGGGAGATGTGCAAATGCGATGCCTGTCGTACGACGTACAAAAAAAGCCACCAGGCTGTATAGTGCCGTTTAGCTGGTATTTATCTCGCAAATGAATCTACTATAAGGAATACCACACCCCTACTGCAGCCCCGTGCATGCTCTATGGCTGCATTCGTGGATGATAGCTTGGGATTGAGGTCTCGTAGGGCATTAGCCCAGCAACCAAGTGAATCACCTTGGTTGCTTGTGAGCCGCCCCTGGCTTGCCCACTCGTGTCTGCTGAAACTCTGCGGGACGCTGTCAACTTCTGAACAGAAGGCTGACGGTCTTGGACGAAGGGGTCGAGCCTTGGGTTGCTACAGCCGAGGGGATACACCGGCGCTCTGCATGCG